TGAGACAGCAGTGCTGGCTGGAGGATAGGCACCCAGCTGTATTTCTTTGTTCCATTTGCATATGATATGGGAGTAGGCAATCATTCTCTCCAATGCACTGCATTTGCAATTCCAAAAGATTGGCTGAAAACTGCCTCCAAGTAATTCTTGGCCTATAATACATCTAGTTTCTGTAGTGTTAGATAATACTAAAACTATCAGTAGCCATCATCAGTTTTTAAAATTCTGCATAGAATTTCCAATAGTAACTATATTTATATTAGCTATAAAACACACACTTTAGACTACAGCCCCATTCAGTATTTTATCATGGATATTGGCCAAGTGTGACACGGAATATGCTAACCAGGAAAATAGATCAATTTAAAAACAAGTTGACATTGGCCACCCATATTTTCTACCTCTGCAGACGGGAACTTTCCTTATGTTAGTGTTTGGCACAATGAGCAGACTACAGCTGTACATGAACTTGCAAGTGTAATGAATGATTTTATAAAGTCAGGTTCCTGCTGACCTTGTGGCTGATGGAAGAGTGGGGGAACCTCTGCTGCCTGGGGCTGAAATCCCACCTCAGGCAGGAAATATCTTCATGAAGGTGACAATGATGCCATCAGCATGCGTTAAATATATACATACATATAGATATATTAAATATATATATATAATTAACACCTGGCAGCAAGGACATGGGGCAAAGGCTTCAAACTGAAATGGAGTAGGTTTATATTGGGTATCAGGGAGAAACTCTTTTCTGTGAGGGTGCTGAGGCACAGGGAACTGTGGCTGCCACATCCCTGGAAATGTTCAAGGCTAGGTTGGACAGGGATGTGAGGAACCTTGTCTAGTGGAAGGTGTCCCTGCTCACAGCAGGGGTGTTGGAATTAAATGAAACTTTAAGGTCCCTTCTAACCCAAACTTTTCTATGTTTCTATGATTTGCTGGCTGAAAGAGTACAAATATCTAGAAGGGTTAGGGCCTTCTAGGTTCTCAGTAAAGACACCCCTGCTGTCTCCAGCCACGTCCTCTGCCTAAGGAGATGAGTCATGTACTCTCACAGAAAGGAAATGCAATATTTACCCTGAGCAAAACACATGCAGGATGCAGTGCTTGTCAGAGGTCCCAGGCACTGAGCAGCCCTGCAGAAGGCACAATCAGTATCCAAACACTAATCCAAGCTTCTGCAAAGACACATCACAGAATTCGGCTCCCACCTCAGGCAGAAATGGGTGATGCTGCCATTCTCACCCACTTCTGTTACCAGCTCTGTGTGTTTACCTGTGGAAAGCTGTGGGGCATCTCACTCCTGCCTGCGTGCTGGGAATAATGCCAGTTTAGATTTTACAATTACAGCACCAGAATGTGCTGTTTCATTTTAAGAAATGGCTTTAAAGATGTCAAATCTGTGACACTGCCTGCTACAGGTTCATTACATGAACCTCTTGTTTGCTTGTTTTGAAATGAGCTGTAATAATTCATAAAAAGTGACATGAACTTACCATGTCCATGCCTAAAATCTAGAGGGGGTTTCTTCAGCTACACAGAGATTTCTATCAGAAGTTCACACAACCACTGGCCATTATCAGTTTTGCCTATCTGCCCTCAGACTCACCAACTTCTACTCTTGCTGTTTCTGGGGAGCTGAGGGTGACAGGGAGGGCTGGTCCTGCTGGCTCTGGTGTCCCTGCTCCCATGCTGGGCTCTGAGGCAGCACCCCAAGGGCTACCTACACAGCCACAGGGACATCAGGCACAGCAGCCTGAGGTAGAGGTCGAGAAACAAACCACTTTTTCATTACTGGGATGTGGGAACTTTTCTGGCGTGATGGTTTTGTGGGGATGAGCTCATCCTGAATGCTTAAAGAAATCTAAAGGGATCCTTCCATTTTCTCTGCTCACCATTCTACAGCACACTTCTTGCTTGCTTTTGCTTTCACTTTGATCTTAAGTCAAGTAAGTTCATTCTCTGTTCTCCTTTTATATTCATAACCTAAATTAATTACACGATGAAAAGATTACATATTGCATTTCATGTCAGTTGCTGCTTAACACATGCCACAAGCAAACTCCTCTCTTCCCACTGTGAAAGACTGACATGGATACAAATCCAAACCTCTATTCTGTACAGTGCTACAAACCACTGGTGGGAGGATCTCACATCCCAAAGTATCCACATTTCCCACAGAGCAGAGCTCCCCTCCTCCTGCCAGCACTGGATCAAGCAGAGGGGTGGAAGCTGCACTGCTCCCAGCCTTGCCCAGTGGCCAGAGAATGATGTGGGGGTCAGTTCCCATCACCTGGAAAGCTCCCCAGAGGCACCCTGGCACTAAGGACTCTCTCAGCAGCCCAGAGAAGGCAGGGCTAGCATTGCACAGCCTCACCAAAGGCACCCAAAGAGGCAGCACAGGCACCTTTGTTCGTGCTCAAATTCCTGATAGCAGCACCCACATCCAGACCCTGTTCTCCTGTCAGACACAGGCTGGAAAGGGTCCCTGCTCTTTCCTGGGTGATGCAGCAGCATAGCCAGACTGGAAAACACCAGGAAATTCAGGCAGATGGCTCCTGAGAGTGCTGGGTTCATGGACTGCAGGGCAGGACCCTCCATGCCCAGTCACACCAGTGTTCCAGGGATAAACCTGTTACGGTAAACTCCAGGGCCTTGATAGGATTCTATCAGGAAATTCCTTTTAACCACAATCTGGGCTCACTTGCCTAAGAGTGAGAAGAAGCTTTCTTGCAAAAGGTGCAATGCAGTCCACATCCTCTCACTGTATTTTTTTGGTGGTTTAGGTGCCACCAAAAAAATACAGACAGATAAAGATGGGTAAAACCAGACCATCCCCCTGCATCCCTGCCCTGCAGCTCACAGGTACCAGAGCAGGGCTTGGTGAGCTGCTGGGGCACACAGATGTTCTTACACATTAACACACCCATTCCAACTGGGACAAGCTTGTGCCACTGTCCTACAGCCTCTCCTGGAGTGACTTACAGATGAATGTTCTCATGATCTCTGTGCCCTTGGCCACCCAAGTCAGCAATAACTTGTTATCACCTTTCCTTTCTTTGTTTGTGTATGAATTTGAAAATAAGCCTGTACTTTGTGTAAAAACCAGAAAGAAACAATTATTAAATAACAACACTTAAACAGTTCTGAAACAAGGTAGAAAACAGATCTTTTTATTTGGAACAAAATGCATCATGGGGGGAATGGAAAAAGAAAAAAAAAAAACACCAGAAAGAGAACAGTAGCTGGGCAGGAACACATACAGTTAAAGGAAGAGCACAGGCTGCATCACTTCTCTCCTGACCTCACAGTAACAGAGCCTTTTGCCCCTCTGGAATGGCACTTTCAGTGGTAAAGGACAGAAAACCAGCCCTGGTTCAATCTGTCTCACAAAGACCTCTTGTGAGACCTCACAAAGACCTCACAAAGACCATGGGAAAAATCCTTCCAGGGCTGGGATCATCGCAGTGGTGATGGGCACCCCCAGCCCTCCGGGGCTGGCAGCAGGAAGGCAGCCCTAGGATAAGCTGGAGCTGGGATGCCCCAGCCCAGCAGGACAAGGCTGGCCCGGCTCTCTCACCCTCAGCAGTGAAACTGTCTGCTCAGAGCACTGATCAGCCTCTGAAGCATGTGCTGGAGTCGAGTGTCCCCTCCTGACCCTGCCAGAAAGTGCAGCAATGCTGACTGTGTCCTCCCATTCTGGTGACACCCACCCAGCCTCGCTGCTTCTGCGCTGCCGCCCCAAGCACTCCGTGCCACTTCTTTTGTCATTCCACTCACAGCCTTTGAGGAATGTTTGTACTGAAAGGAGTTAGAACAGCACCGTAAGGAAAAGAATTACCACCTCCCTCTTACCGTGGAAAACCCGATTCCTACTGCAGCCTTTAAAAGCAGAGACAGGCTGAATCACCACCAACACAGCACACAGGAGCCAAACATCTTCTAAAGAGAGTCACGGGACAAGGAGAGAACGAGAACAATCACCTGTGGCTGGGTGCCACTGATGCAGAGCCCCGGAAAGCAGGCAGAGATGAAGGAGTCCCAGGGGAGCCCGCAGCCACCCTCCAGCTCCCTCCCTGGGACACAAGTCCTCAGTTTCGTTTGGATTCTGCTGGGGTGCAGCCCTCGTTGGATGGCTTTCACCAGGCATCCCTTAAATCCATTTCCAAGGGATTCACCGTGTCAGCACAAGATAAAACAGGGACAAAACGACAAGGGAGGAGAGGAATGCAGTACACACCTCCTCATCCCTTTTGGTCCCAGTCTGTACCATCTCTGCTTTTACTACCATTCCTTTCTAGCCCAGCAGGCTAATTTAACACTAGCAACCAATTTACCACCTCACTCTGACTACTAAAATTGTCTCATACAGTAAATACCTTGCTCTGGCAGCACACCCTGCAGTCCCTGGCAGCTTTGCTGGGACTCAGCTGCCTGCGACAGAATCCCTGCCCTCTCCTCACCACATCCTTCTTCCCTGCAGGTCTAGCCCAGCTGCTGCACAGGCACAGCTCCCCTGAGCAGAACAGGACATGCCTAGCAGCAAGACTTACCTAAGAGATCCTATAAATTGCTGCTGTCTGTGCAAAGAACACAGCCCCGAACAAGCCTACATGCACAGGCAGATGGCCAGCTTCATCAGCTTGCAGTAGCTCAACTATCACACTAAAGGCACTAATGCTTGCATTGATAAACAATCTCAGCCTTAAAAATCAAGGTTTCTGCCAAAATTGCAGCCCCAAGCCCCCTCCTGCTGCAGGCAAGCAAGCGACAGCTCAGGGGCAGCCCAAGCAGGCGGGTTCTGGGGAAAGGAGCCCTGTACCCTCTGTCATTTGGGGCACCAGGAGAGGAGCAAAGCCAGCACCACCCCAGGTGTGCACACAGCATCTGCAAATGGCACATTTCAAGCCCCCACCACTGCTCCTGCTCCAGGCAGCAAGAGGTGAGGGCCAGATCTGGAGCTCAGAGGAGCGGCTCAGGTAAGCACCCAGGACAGCAGGTACCCAGCTGAGACCTCCTTTGAGTTTCCTTGGCAGGGCCTGGGAAAAAACTGCCCTGAAGTCTCCCGAGAAGAGGCTTTCTCAGGAAACTTCTGGCAAGCCCTTGGCTTCTGCCTGGCACTGGCAGGCACCTCAACCTGCCTGCAGTGCCTGCCCCTGGCTGGCAAAGGCAGGCAAGGCATGGGGTGGGCAGGGAGCAGGAGGAGCCCTCTCATCCCAGGCTGTCCCCGGGCTCCTCAGTTTGGCTGCAGCTCTGTTATCAGGCAGAGCATCACAGAGCTGCCCCTTTTGTTTGTTGGTGAACCTGTCAGGCCTTGAAGCCATGTGTGTGCTTTTCTCTGGATTCTCTTTTTTCTTTTAAAATGAGGTCAGAAGGTCTGACACCTCACTTCTTTCCCCTGCTAAAATTTTCCAGACACAGTGAGACTATGGGATGCAAAGGACGAGTGTCACAGGCTTCAGGGTGGAACAGCAAGCATGTCAGATCAGTCATCAGTTGGATCTGGGAAACAGTCTGAGGCATCTTCCTGGCTTTCCATATCAACTAGGACCTCAGCAGCTGGCATTTCCTCAGCTTCTATCTGCACTGCTAAGTTTTCTTCTGCCACTGGCTGGGGCTCAACACCTTGACCAATCTGGGCAGCATCTGGAAAAGGGAGAAATGGTTTATAAGTGCCCACACTGTGGCTCACCCTCATGGAAATCCACCCCCTGGTCCCTAATGCTGCAGGCTGCCTAATCCACTCAGTCCCCTCACCCCAGACACCTGCAGGTCAAATTTCAATTTTCTCTGTAACCACTCATTTACTGAGCTATGCACCATGCCTTAGGGCACTTTGGTATTGAAGCTCTTTGGCCTTTTAGTACCAAAGTACCTTAGTACCAAACCTTTAGTACCAAAATCTATCCATTTATATTTGAATAATTCAAACTGGCTAACAGCACACATTTAGTTCTTGCCTACTTTCCACATGCATCTCTGCTTTTTACTTAATCGTAAAAAAATTAAATATGGACTACTTTTTAGTCAGACGTATAATATTTGATTTTTTTTATTAAAAGCTCTGCACTTGAAGTATATTAATATTAAGCAATGATCTGAAAGGCCTTTTTTTTCCTCTTTCTTGCTCTGTGTTCATGAGTAGCATATAATATTTTGAAAGCAGAGCAAAGAGCATCCAAGGATAGATTTAAAGCACAGCAGAGCTACAGGAGGCTGTGCATGGTGCAGTGAAGGACACCAGAAATGGAGACAGCAGTGCTGAGACCAGGCTATGACCTGACCTACGTAAAGCTGCTCCAGTTCATGATGTCCCTGCTAAACCTACTTCAGCTGATGATGGTGCATTATTAGGCAAGGTGTTGCCAGCACTTGTGTTTGGGAAGCAAAACTGAAGGAAACATAATGCAAAAAGAGGAGTACTAACACCAAAACACACAGAACAGGACATTTCTGGAGGGTTTTTATCACTGCACTCCCTTAAACATATTATGCTAAGGCTGTGGGGGTTTATGCTCGATTTCTTTGAAAAATTTAAAATGTGACCATATTCCCACTCTAGCCTCAATTTAAGAAAATACACAAGCCTCTGGCTTTGATGGGATTTAGCTGTGTTTACAGCTCAGCATATTGGCTCCTGCTGTCCTGAAGATGACTGCTTAAAAAACAGCACCAATTTTTATAAAATGTTACTGATGAGAAGGGGAGAAGGGTGAGAAAATTACAGGAAAACTGCTGAGATTTGGGGGGGGGGGGGGGGGCATTGCTGTTTCTGAGGTATGTGGCACAGGAGATAGTGGAACAGACAGCCTGCTGGCAGCACCCACATGCTTGTGGGATGGCTGCCTCTGCCTCTCGTGGCACGAGTAAGGCACTGAAAAATGCCCTGCGGCAACTCCTGCAGAAGGTGCAGCTCCTTCCCTGTGCTGCCATGTCCCAGGCCCCTCTCTAAGGCCACCTCTCACCCAGGAGCCACACACAAACACTGTGTCCCCCCGAAACAAGGTGTGTCTGACCTCAGACAGGTCTCTGCACTCACCAGGCTTGGCAGGACGGTCACTCTGGGCAGCCTGAGCCTCCACACGGTCTCCATTGGGGGGGCTCTTCGTGCCTTCGCCAGACACCACTGACATTGTTAACCCATCATCCTTCTCCTCCTCTGTGAAACCAAACCAGAGATTTGAAGGAAGAGGCGCCCACAGCCCTGGCAGGGCTGCTGTGAGGCCAGACCCCAGCACGTGTTTGTGTCCCCTCCTGAAGCGGTGCTGGCCCCGCTCCCGGAGCGGACAGATGCTGAGAAGGGAGGGTGGTCACTGCCAGCCTGCCAGGCACCAGCCTGGCCAGGCTGCCAGGATCACAGCTTGAGGTGATCTGCATGGGCAGATTGCTCCCAGGGACAGAGGACTGCCATCAGCAACCATTTTGGGATCACACCTGAATGAGGTTCCATTTTATTGCCCAGAGGAGAGGTTTTGCTATGGGTTTTTCTTCTGGCCAGGAGCACAGGGTGAGGGGAATAAAGGAAAAGTGAGGTTTAATTCAAGACTCTGCTGGCCATAGAGGCTGCCTATCAGCAAGAAGAACTTCTGCTCCAGCAGGTCAAGGGAGGACAGGCTGGATGGAGGACAAGCAGCCACGCAGCTGAGACCAGGTTACTCTAAGGCCACTGCACACACACAGTCCTCTCCAAAATTCATTACAGGGGGGTCACAGCATTCCCCACTCACCTGAAGGCACTGGGATGAACTTGTGTCTCCTCTTCTTCATGCAGCAACATATGGCTGCAGGCAAAGCCACCAGCAGGATAAGCACACCCGCTGCACAGCCTGCCAGGATGTAAATGAACCCCGGGTACCGCAGCAGGTCTGCAGGAAGGACACAGCATTGTTATCTACCATGGTGGAAAAACTCCTTTCTCCCTGTGGGAGAAGCCCTGCAGCCAGATTAGAGCTTGTTGCTTTAGTTTGGATCAGGGCAGCTGGCACTGTGAGCTGTGGCACGTTGTGATTTATGCCACATCGCCTAATTATGGCATGGAATTTTTCATTAGGAGGAGAGTCCTGTGTGCCCAAGCTGTGTGCACTCACTTCTGCCTGCTCTGATCACTGACATCTGAGGTAACCTGTAAGTTTTTATCAAATTTAACAGAGCAGGTGGTAATTTGAAAGATCCTACATTTCAACAAGGGAGGGAGACCCAAGGAAGCACCTCCTTGTGGCCACAGTTCTCTCCACAGAGAGCAGCAGGCACAACTTCCCAAGGATTTTTCCTGGGAAGGCAGTGAGAAGTACAGAGAGAAGAGGAGAAAACAATTCTTATCTCTATTCACTGCTCCTGTTATTGCACATGTGGAATGTGCTGTGGAGATTGTTTACCCAAAGTGATTTGGTTAATTGGACACCGGTGAAAGTTGTTTTGAGTCATAAGCTGTGTCCTGGCTGTCTCAGACAGTCACAGGTTTTTCAGTAGTATAGTATAATATAGTATTCTTTAGTATAGCTATAATATAGTACTAATGTAATATAGTGTAGTTTTAATGAAGCAATTGTTCATCCTTCTCAATCACAGAGTCAGAGGGCATTATTCCCTGGCAGGGGGGGTCGCCTGCTTCCACTATACCTGCTGCTGAAGGAAAAGCTGCAGCACCCACCCTCAGAGCTGGCATCAGAGAATCTGCTTAGGACAGTCATGTAATGACTGCACCAACCCCAGAGCCAGGCTCATCAGAGCCTACACTGCCTCAGACACCAAGACTGTAGCCACTCGAGCCAGAACTGTAGGAAAAAACCCTTCCCTGGCTCTGCTGCTGCTCGGGGAAGGATTCCACCCTGTTCCAGAGCACGCTGCAGGAGCGAGGGCTGCAGATGGCTGAGCAGAAGGGCAGCACAAGTCACTGGTGATTATTTCCCAGCTCAGCAGCCCTTGCTCAGGGTTGCTGTGATGGGGCAGACCCCCACGGTCACTGCTGCTGAGCAGGCAGCTGGTGCAGGGCACAGAGAGACCTATCCAGGCTTGCTCCTTCACGGAGATCATCTCCCCCAGCCTGGGGCAGCCTCTAGGAAAACACTTCTTGCCATATGCAAAAAAAAACCCCCACACAACTCCACTTTAACATAAATTCCTTAAAATTCCTTAGGTAAGGCTGTGCCATCCCCTTCTGAATAATTTAACTACTTTTCAGCAGCACACGTGCCTGCACAGCACAACAGCAACTAACAGGCTCATTTGGAGCTTATTTCAAGCCCTCAAAAGCACTAATTGCTCCATATCTCCAGAGACTAGGAAGAATTTTAAATGTTCCAGGATATACTACACACTATCATACTCCACCTACTCACTGGGACAGTAAAAACAACTGCACACAGGTGCTTGTGGTATTTTCAGAGTGTTTGTTACACTCTTTTTAAGAGCAATTGCCAAGTTCAAAAAAAATCCATATTCAAAATTAAAAACTTTCAGCAACTCAGAAATAATTTCCCTAATTATTTTAGTTGATGAACGCTTAGAGAATATTGTGAAAAGTAAAAATACAAGTTGGAAATTTTTTTCCTGAATCTTTTCCTAAAAATTTGCCACTTGTTAATAAGGTCTTTTTTGAGACAAAATATTGTGTTAAAAATAAGCAATAAACAAGTCATTAATCCATAAAAGTCTTTTATATATATTGAATTCTTAACTTCTGAATCTTGTGTGTTCAGAGCCCTGTGTTGCCTGGTAAGTTTACGGCATTTCTGCCAAATTGTTTTTGGTTATTCAAAATTAATTTCATCAGCCAACAGGTTGCCCAAATGGATGTTTTTACATAGATCACATACCTACAGTGGAAAAAAACAAATTCAGCCCTTGGCCTGGAGCAAATAATAACCCACAAACACAATTCGTGATTAAATTAATTACAGCGAAATTTGTCAAAAACCTTATAGTGTTGGTATGCCTGTAGCTTTGATAACCATCCGTGCTGCCAGAGATTAGAAGAACCTTCACTACTGGAGGGGCAAATTAAATGATACCCAAGGATCCAGATATCCTGTCTCATTAAACTCTGGCCTTATTCAAGCAGAATACTCAGCATTTACGAATAGCTTGCAATTGGATAAAGTCTCAGCCTCCTCGCAGACTTACATGTCTGAGCAAGGATATGCAGGGGAAAAAACCCTACATTCCATAAGTAAATGGCTTGTGTCTTTACTCACTTCTGATGGATGGGGCTGATGGAGAGACATTTGTATAGATGAGAAAATATTTTGTGCTTCTGGCCTAGATAAAGGGAAAAGAGATGAAGCAAAACACCTCAACTGAGTCCAGCAGCAACAGGGCTGAACCAGTGGAAGGGTTTTTATGGGGATGCACAGAAACTGGAAGGCATCTGGATCATGGATGCATGTCAGAGTAGGAAGCAGCCCGTGTTTCTAAAGCAGCATAGAGGATTGGTGCACAGGAGGGTGCAAATCTCTATCACCAAAAAGTAGGAAAAGAGACAGATGGAGATCCATCCTTGCTGCAAAGCTGGGTAAAAGAACCTCCTCAACAAACTTATCCCATCTGTGGTTGTAGGCTGTGTCAGTCCAAAGCACAAGAGGGAGGAGGAAATCAAGGGGTTACTTTCTAAAGGCAGAATTTGGTAACTCTGGAAGGGAAATGCCAGAGGACAGAAGAATTTGTTATTCTGAAGACACCAACAACCCCTCAGTTTCCTGCTGCTGCAAGAGACCAAAAGGAAGATTTTCTGGGGGTGCCATTACTCACCATAGCTGCAAGACAGCGAAATGGGCCTGGTCCTCGTGACACTGTTCCCCTTCAAAATCTCACACACAAACTCCCCAGGCTCAGTTTTGCCCAGGTGAACCTTCTTCCCAGCATCCTTAATGCAAGCCCCCTCAGCTTTCAGGTGGGTGCCATTGAGGAGCCACCTAAAGACCAGGATCTCATTGCTGGCCACGTTGCAGGACAGCTCCGCAGTTCCATCAGGGAAGCACTGGATACCAATGGTCGGCTCTGGTCACACACAGCATGGGGCAAGGGGAACAGGGAGGAAAGAGAGAGGTGAGGAGAGGACTCAGCAGTGAACAAGAACAGAAGCTTCCTTTCCCAGCAATCTCACATTTACTGTATGAAGGGAGCACAGAAACAAGTAACCAATCTCTTGAATGCCTGCACTCTGCCCTAAAATGCTTTACAGTGCCCACCCCAACACTGCTGGTTGATTCCTGATCTCTGTTATGGGGATGCCACCAAAATCTGGCATATTGTCATTTTCCTAACTGACATTAAAAAAAATAAAATAAAATAAAAGCCCCTGGTCCGAGAGGATGGTGGAAACATCCATAGCATGTGCCAGCCAGAGCCCTCCTCTGAAATCAGCAGATAATTGTAGTTTTGGAGGAGACTCAGCCCTTCCCGCCACCAGAGGTTTGTACTTTTGCTGTCACTCTGCCCCTTCTTCCATTTTAGAGAGGAACTGGTGCAAATCATGGCCAACATGGACACGAACACAAGACACCTGCATTAGATACAATACCCAGACTAGGACATTTTAAAATAAATGAATTCATTATTACTCTTACTACATTCCCCTGAATTTCTCTCTTTCAGTCTACTACAAGGAACAAAACTATTTCCTACACTTGCCACTTAGCACATACAAACTAGATAGGGAACTGGTATGGTTTTGGGGCAGCAGGAGTAACACTGAGAACATGTATCCATGGAAATAAGCTCAGAAATCACTTTCTTGCGCTAGGACATCATCTTCAGTTAAAATTCCCTGCCTCCAGGAACATGTTGGCAGTGAAAGTTTTTCCCTGCCTTAGGGGTGGCAACAGAACAGAAGGAGGAGGCAAATGTTCCCAAAGTAAGCCCACTGAAATGGAGGTTAAAGCCAGGATGCTTCTGCAGTCTTTGACTACTTCCAGCCTAAGCCCCTGTTCTTCACACCAAGGAGTCACATCTTTGACCTACTGTGCACAGCAGTTCCGCCTGTTTGCACCCAAAAGGTGTAAGGGCTCATTTGTCTTCACTGAGACCAGTTTGCTCAGACATTTTCATTACAGTTTTGTGCGCTTCCATTTATCTTGGAAGCCTGTGTAAGTGAAAGCCCTGCAAAAGGACCGGCGGTGATAAGGACCAGAGCAACGCACTCTGTCTGCCTGGAGCACTGTTCAGCAGCAGGACAAACCCTCCTAAGCCTTCTCCATATTAACCCAAGCAATGAGCTGGATCCTGTACAGAAGTGACTTTGTTTCTGTCTTTGCTGCCTGCAGATGGATGAGCGGGCACACAAAAGGGAGAAGGAATTCTAAGGCTACAAGGGACAGGAGGAAGACTGGCACGGCTCCCAGGGGCACCTATAGCTCCTGCAAGCTCAAACAGTTTCTCTGGAAAAATTTCAAGGCATCAGGCTTCCAACAAGTTCAAAAGCTTTTTGTTACTAAGAAGGCCACTTACCAAATACTTCCAGTGTAAAATTTCTGGCGGTGTTCTGAAAAACAAATCCGTATTTTCCTTCATCGTCTTTCTCCACACTCCTCAGCACCAGGGAGCCATTCTCTAAGTTCAGCCATCTACTAGCAGAAGTGCCACACTTGGCCAACAAGGTATCATTTAGGACAGTTGTAGAGCATTTCTTATCCTCCTTGCTCATGCTGGAGAAGTTCTGCAGGCTTTGGATTTCCAAAGAAAAGACTGCTGAGTCGCCGCTGAGCGCACCAGTCCAGATGGCAGAGCCTGAAAGGACAGCAAGCTTGCCATGTCCATCCATCCCCTCCTGACTGCCTCCCAGGAAGGAAAATGCCCAGGTGAGACATAAGAGGGACAGACCCAACCCTAGGGACAAGTTGGATCACCAGTGATTGAAAATCTGAGGATTTCTGTAAGGTCCAACTTCCCCCACCTCAACAGTACAGGAATGGTGTGCACACCATGTACAACAGGGAAGCAAAAGGCTGAACAGCTGGTCTTTTCTCTCTCTAAATTTAAGATGACCATCTACCAGCCCCCATCAGAGATGAGAGACTGTGCAAAGAAAGGTCCTCAGGGCATCAGTGCCATGGACCTTGCACAGAGGGTAGCAGAAACAACAGCTGCAGGTGCAGAGCTGCTTTCACCCAAAGAGTAAGGTCACAGTTTTAACTCAAACAGGTCTCGCAGTACCCTTGCACATGATTAAGCTGTTGTGTGTAAATCAGAGGTGGGTAAATGGCAGCAGCTTGGGGACTAACCCAAGGTCACACCGAGTGCTGGGACCTGGACCACGTCACTCTCCAGCCAGCACTCTGTGTACAAGGACCTTGCATTCCCCACTGAAAAGCTTCTCCAGACACAGGACACTCAGAAAGTACAATATTGTTAGTTATTGTTACTTTACTGGAAAAATAATCTGTTTTACTTTGGTCTGACTTCCCCTTTCATGCATTTGCAGCTACACTATTTGATGTCGCCCCAAACCTGGTAGCGTCCTTAAAAGATCTTGGAGCAAAATTAGGGTGTCTGCTCATCTAGGCAAACCTGTGCCAACCCCAATAAAGAAAAATCCTACCTACCTTGAGTAACAGTTATTATCACCAGCAAGCAGAGCAGAGTCAAAGGAGAGCTGAAATCCATCTCAAAGAGCTCCTTGCATCATATGCTGAGGAGACGATCTGGCTACAGAGCTCGGTGAATTTAGTGCTCGGGAAATGATGTCAGAAGCAAGAGTGGGGGGAAAAAAAAAAAAGAAAAGAAACTCCATAGTGGACAGATTGAATGATGTTTCAAAATAGACCTGCAAGGTTTTGGGTGACTGAACTCAGGCTGAGCCAATGCAAGCCACAATGTGCTCTGCAAAGTCCCGCAGCTCAAAGGTAGCTGTGAGTGTGAGAGTAGGGCTGAGAGGTGAGGGGAGACAAAAATATCTCCTGGTCAGCTCACCCCATTTAGGAAGGTGCTAACAGAGCAGGCAAAGGAGTAACACCTATTTCTTTCATCCTTTCCTAGTTTATCAAAGTACAGCATCCCCACCCAGGGAGAAGAAAGTCCAGTCAGATAAAGCACTGCACATGAAAACCAGCTGATTTTCTCAAATACTAAAAATGATCACTCCTTGACATCTCACCAGCAGGAAGGAGGTGTGGGACAAGGCTCTCCCTCTGTTCCCAAAGGCTGTGTTGCCAAAGTGAGCTTTGCCAGGCTCTTTTAGTTACTAAGTGGTACCTGCCATGCAGGAAAGACTCCATCCCAGGCAGAGTAAAGCTTATGGAAAATTAAGTTGCATTGCAAAACTAAACTGAATATAGCCCAGGAGCCACCCCAGCTCTGTTTGGAGTGCAAATCTCAGAGATGAAACTGAAAAGTCAATCCTGAAGAAACTCTGTGAACCAGTTATCTGGAGAGCCAGGTAGGGCCAGACACTTGGCACTTTTTGAGATGGCTTAAAGCACACTGGGCATTACACCAAGTGCCACAATGGGTTACACAAACAACACAGGGACAGCAGGAACTGTCTCACTCACTGGAGGAAGTACACTGGTATAGCCTTAGAGCCAACATCTGGATGCTTTCAGATGCTTAGCAGATGTGCTGGGGAATAATTACAAGAGCTGGGCTCAGGATGCAGCTGGGAACGTTATATTTTTGTTTCTCTGGACACAGATATAGACACAGTCCCCTAAGGAAGCTCCACACAGAGGATTCACAGGTACACACACATTTCTGAGAAGTGGGTAAAACCCTTGCATTGTGGTCTGCACTATTTTTCAAACAATCTGGCTATGCTTGAAAAATTCCACATTTTAGCCACTGGTTTGGCCACTCTGACTTCTTTACCAATGAAGTAAAGAAGCACATCACCTCCTGCTCCCAATGTCCCAGACTTACAAATTTGGTTCAAGCCTATCACAGCAATATGCTGTCTTTATCATATGTGCATAGGACAGGCCTAAATTGATCTAAGATGAGACAGAAATAGACTTCTCTGAAACAGCAGTGAAGTGAGTCTTCAGACACTCACAGCAGCACAGAGGAAGGGAGAGAGAAAAAAGTATTTACAGTAAGAAACACTTTCATTTCCTTCTGTGCTGCTGAAATAACATGAAGAAAATCTCTCTCAAATACCACTGCAAGACTGGGGCTAACCATCTGCCTCGGATGTGCACATTCATCTTCATTTCACCTTCATGCTTGAAGGGCAAGCTGGTGGAGCTTGGGGTTGCAGTGCTGTGGTGGAGACACGAGACAGAACAGACAGCACGCACAGGGTCACTCCCAAACAGCACCCCAAAATCTCAGAATCTCAGCAAAACAAGGTGCAAAAGGGGACTAATCCAGCAAAAGTTCACCTTCTCTTCCAGCCAATGAGAGCAGAGCCCATTTGCAGTAAAATGCAATAAAAATATGGCCTTTCTGGTGCGGCTCTGTTGTCACAGAAGTGACTCTGCACAGCTGTGACATTGCGGTGTCCTGCATTTCGTCTCCCTCCCGGTGACTCCAGGGCAAATGAGTACATTTATGAGTTCAATATTCCTGACTGCAAGTGCCCCATACATCACACAGTATATGAAGTCCCATTAGGCTTCTTCTGTCCCTCACATCCTCACTAGCTAAAAAAAAAACCCCAAAAGGAATCACAGCCTGGATAAAGATGACAGCACACACACAATCTGTGTTGTCATCAATCAGCAGCCTCTTTTAAGAGCAACACTCTCAAATTTCACTCATAATGAAACTGTTAGATGAGATCTGGCATTAATTTCTAGCATTGCTAATGAGTGATCTCGCAGCACTCTTGGCAAGGCAGAGAACTCAGTTCCCCTTTTTATATAGAGACAGGGTTTTACTGCAGACAAAAAACACCTTGTAAGGTTTAACAGAAATCACAAGTAGAAAAAGGAGGGGAGGGAAGGTGGACCAAACAAAAAACCCAAGAATTTGTAGTTAGAAGGTGAACTAAAACCTTTTTTACTTGGTGAGCTGCAAGCTTACAGTGTCATTTTGCCCCTTCACACTGAAGGCTTCATGAAAGGGGAATGGAGATTCATTCCATAGATGGCATAAGGCCTTGATGGAGCATGGGAGATGGGAAAATCTGAGCTAGCAAGTAAAGCAGGAAATAACCTGTGAAATATTATGGAGAAATCTGCCCATATCAACTCTGCACAGGCTGGTAAGCATAGGCAGCACACCTATTTTACTGTCATTAAAGTGTGTCAGTGCTCTCTGGGGAAACACACAGGCCCAGATCCACTCAGAGGTAGCCAGCAGAGCTAAATGCAGAAACTCAACACATGCAAACAGAAAATAGGCCTGCAGCTCCAGCAGTGCACAGCTGCAGTGGCCCTTCTGTCCATCCATCCATGCAGGGCAGGAATGGGGCACACACCTGAGAAATGTTTCTGTGTGGGGCAGCAGGACCCCAGAGACTGATAAATATTCATATTCATATGAACTCTTCCTTTGGTACATTAAACTAGCCAGAGAGCTATGCTTAACCTCAAGATCTTTCTTGATCATAGCAATAGAAATAGCAAGCAAAAACAAAAACAAATGCTAATGTCAGAGCCTCAAGTACAGATGATATCTCCATGACAGGGACTTTTAAAGAAACCCACAAATTAAGAAAAGGGACGTTGCAGAAAGTGCAGAGATCAGAAAGGCTCCAGACCTAATTATAGACAAGGTGCATGTGGTTTTCTCCATCCTGTGGTACCTCTGGGGAAGGCACAGTCCAGCCCTTGAAAGAGTCAGGGCCAAGAGGAATGCACTCTCTTCTTCAGAGCACCCATGGATATTTTCATCCTTCTTGCTAAGAGATGGAAGGAATGTCCAACATCCTACAAACAAATACAGCTCCCCTAACATGGCTCTCCCAGCCTGCCCCACGATGACAAGTGAAAAAGAAGAGCCCATATACAGAAAAACTGCTGGAAATGACACAATTTATATTTAGCTGTGTGCAGGGTGAAATGCTTTGCCTTGGCTTGGGAAAAAGAAAGGAAAAAACCCAAACCAAATGGTTTATTATTGCAGAGCTATTCAGGCATATGGGTTCAATCCTGTCACTACATGAGCAGCACTCAACTGCAGGAGCATGCTCCTCTTCCTCCTTGCTTTGTCTTGCCTCACTTTGAGGGGAAAGCAGACCTTGCTAAACCCCAGCTTGGAAGATGAACTTGGGAAATTTCACTGATGTTGCCACCTTCAAACTGATAATATAAGCATTGTTTACAAAGGCAAAAAGATTTCACAGGTTAAAATTCTCTGCAGGATTCACTGAACAGTGTGAGCATTCCATCTGCTGTGGTTAGGAGAAGGTTAATGCCAGGCTCATTTTTAAAATAATCTTCAAATACAGTGCAGAATGGGGACAAAAGCCACCAGAACAGCTTTACAACCACAAGACTGCAGGTGGTTGTGACAGGGATTCCCTGTCACACTCTAGCACGTGAATAACTTCAAGTGACAGAAGACTTGAAAAAGCAGCAAAAAACACACTTTGTGCTTTTTCCTGAGGCTTTGCTACCACACACAAGAAACTGCAGCCACTGATACCTGCAGCAAATTAAAGCATTCAAGAGCTTTAAAAAGTTTGCTTTAAGCAGCAGAGAATATTCGTTGATTACAAAAAAACAACCAAACCCCCAGGTCATTTAACTTTGTATTACTTACTAGAAGTGCTCAGAAAATGCAGACATTTGGGATAATGGCTGTCTTGACAGCAGACTGAAATTTGTTGTAAAGGCACCAGAACAGCACTGAAAAAAAATTAGGAGAGCCACAAACTGAAAGAGGCTGAAAAATAGTGTTTTATAGGGTCAAAGCTGAAAACAGCTTCTGCATGCCAAGTAGGACTTAAAGGGCAGATTGAAAAATCCTTGGTCATGACACTCCTTAACAAGGTAGTCTGGCTGGGGCCAAAACAGCAAATAATTGAGGCCTTTTAAGACTAGCATACCCTGATTGTGAAATGAGTAAGATTTTCTGAAAGTGCAAGCATGGAGGCGCTTACCCCATGAAATGAATGTCTGACCATGCTCTGAGAGAAACCCCTGGACACACAGTTCCAGGTGACACACCTGGCTCTTTCCTCTAGAACCCTTCTGCATAGGTATTTCTTTTTATCTCCTTAGAGATAAGGAGATCTGTGTGTATTTATCAAACATTTAGATCTCAGGGTCTCTCCAATAATACAAGTCATTAAAAAAAGGCAACAAACTGGAATGTTTTTGCAGCCAAGATTGTGTTCATAATATGAATATTCCAGCCACAGAACACTTGTGCTGGGCCAGTCTCAATTTATTTGGCCTTTACACCTCATGTGCATTAAAGCAACAGGAATACATGTGGTCATTTAAGTCTCTGCACAAATCTATGTTGTCTTTAATGCTTCAATTAATTCTTTCTACTTTCCCTAATGATTGAGGGTGGGACAGAGAAGACAACTTTTTTCTATTCCTAAGCGGTAGGCTTAGACATATCTTGGAGAGGTTTTGTTCAGTAATGTGGTACTTCCCTGCCCTCTCCTGATAAAAAACAATCCCCCAAATACCCTCCCTTTTCTTTACAGAATTGTAATTTGGTTGGGGAGATTTGATAGCCTTTAGCTGACAAAGCAACTGGCATTACGTGTGT